CCTGAATTAAAGAAAGCTTTGTATAACCTAGTGGAAACTATTTAATGTCATATTTTATTGGCAGGGAGTAACAAATGGTATAAGGGTCCTACATAAATTGAGAACTTGTGACTACAGGTACAACCAACTGTACTAGGTAATTGAGAGACTAGAACCTTATTGGGGGGTTCTAGATTCTTTAACTATAATCTTATTGAGGGGGGTTCTGGATTCTTTAGAGTACCTGGGCCATCCTTCAATCCTTTGAAGTATTTCCATACTTTCAGGAAATCTTGGTAAAGAATGAACTTAAGAATCTGAACAGCTGACAAGCCAGAATGAACTTTCAATGTTATTTCTTTTTCTTTCCGGCATTAAGGAAACGAGGGCCACTGTAACAATGCAGCTTGTCCAGGGGCCACGATAAGATCTCCCTTCCGTGTCTGGAGCACTAGACTCTTAATCAGCAGAAAGAGGAAACCAAGGCTTCCTTCTCAGATCGTCCTGGACTCTGGAGTGCAAAGTTACCTTGTACAAAATTCTCTGGATGCCGTCAGCTCAAGAACCATTTTTTGTTGAATTCCCCTTGGGTTTAGACTAAACAAAGGGCTGTATTTCCATTTCAATGTGTGGTTCCTTAAAAGAAATTCTTCCCTATTTCATAAAGATACAGAAGCTTAAGTTATGCTTAATCAGGCCGTTCTGTCAATATCATGATTATGTACATTAAATATAAAAAGAAACCTTTTTAATTTAGATAAAAAGAGTTCCTGGGAATATCCCTGCCTCGTGTCAATAAGTAAATTTTATTTTATCCATTCAGTAAACTTCAGAAGATGTGGGAAGGGTGCAGATGGATGGAAGACAGCCTCTCTCTTTGATTCTGCTGGGTAAACAAGCCTTCTGAACTCTTTCCATATTGCAAATCCCCATTTGTAAAGTTCCATCAATTAGGAAAATGAACGTGAGCTGGCACTGGCTGAATGTGAGTCATCCCCTTGTAAAGCCCCCAGCTTCTAGAAGATGCCACGTTGCAGAAGATTTCTAATCGCATGTTCTGAATTAAGTAGGAAGGATTTTAGCTTCATTCATAGTAAGATGGCTACCTCAGAAGACTGAAAACCCCCGAAATCTACAGGTTGGCAGACTCTCGTCTGCATCTTGCAGGCTTGAACACATGGAATTCTATGGCAACAGTGGTGCAGACAGAGCCCACAAGTTTCATTAAAACAAGGAGCCAGTTTAGTAATTACTCCCTCATGAGGCCCTCAAGCATTCCGACTGACTCCTCCTTTCCCGTCTCTTGTACCTGCCCCTTTCAGACAGCTCCCCCACACTGGCCTCTCCTTCAGAGGCCTTTCCCCTGGGAATGGGGGTTTGTAGAGGAGGCGGGTGTCCCTGATAGCTCAGGACCCCAAGCTTGGCTCACAGTCGACTCCTTCACCACTACCCTGGCCAGGCCCTCGTATTCAAAGATCAAAACATGCAGGAGGCACCGTCAGGCAGAAGAGCAATCCCAGCTCTACTACCAATTAAGGCACCAATCTCCGCACAATTCTTGATGCCCTGTGAAGTCACGCAAAGCGAGAACTGCGCTTTCACTCAACTTCCTTTATTGCGAAGGGGAACAGGTTTATTTATGTGTTTGTTAGGACGCAATCTGGTCTGGAGGTTTGTAGAGATGGTTGCTAGAGAAGGACAATATGCCCATCATCCGAAGAGCTCCCCCGCCACCCTTAGTGTTTGCTTAGAATATAAAAGGAATAGTAGAACTTATTGTCTGTTGCATAGTGTTTAAATGAGAATAGATGCGTGCACACATATGAACATTTTTTAATTTCTTGAAAGAGTTATTCCTACATCTAAAATAGTAGAACTGCCAGTATTTAGCCTAAATATGTGATCTGATTGTTTGGGAAAACCTAACAAAATTTAGAGCAGATAGTAATCTAGTAAAAGAAAGGCAACAAAAGAGTCAGAGGATTTATTTTGATGTGAGTTGATGTTAGCATTGCCTTTCATTTACTGCAGTAATTATAATGAACCTGAGGCTAGGGTGAGAACTTTCATCCAAATACACATTCAGATGAGGAACTGTGACCTTTCAGAACACTGCGGCTGGTAGATTCAGTAAGAACATAAGTTTGTATCTCTCCTCTCTTTGCCAGCAGAGCAAACATTTAGGATCAATTAACAAAAGATACGCATGAAACCCTTGGGCGAGTTTACTCAGCAGTTCCTTTAAACATACCCATGATAAGAGCAAACATTAAAATGCTGATAACTCATCAAAACTCATGTTTTGTTTTAGTGCCAAGATCATTAGGTCAATTTGCGCCTCAACAGCAATTATTGTATTCACTTAGCCAACTTGGAGGTGGGGCTCCTCAAATTGTTTTATTTACTCTCAGTAAATACTTATGATTTAGGTAAAGGACTGGAGGTGACAGCTGACAGTATTGAGAGGCAACTAGAGATTGGTGGAGAGGCTCCCATCAGAATGCCTGGAAAATAACCTTTCTTTTATTACCCACTGGAAAATATCCAGAGAAAAACCAGCAGTTGGATGACATACTGAGTTGAATCAATGTGATAATTTCCGCCCAGCCGGGCGTGGCTCAGCAGTTGAGCATTGACCTAGGATCCAGGAGTTCTGGTTCGATTCCCGGTCAGGGCACATGCCCAGGTTTCGGGCTGCAGCCCATCAATGACTCTCTCATCATTGATGTTTCTATCTCTCCCTCTCCCTTCCTCTCTCTGAAATCAATAAAGATATATCTTTAAAAATGTGATAATTTCCTTCCCTTTTTACTACCAGTCTAAGCACAGTGCAAGACATTGTCTTCATTTATTGTTTTGTTTTTTCCCCCCTGAAGTTTAACATCATATTGATCCTTCAGTTTGTACTTACTTTATGGTGGACTTAGACATTATTTCTCATTTGTCTGACTTTTTAAAAGGCGTTTAAAAGAGGATTTATCATGTGCAAGTGGAAAAGTAAGCTTTTCTTAAAAAAATGTTTTTCTTGATTTCAGAGAGAGAGAGAAAAGGAAAGGGAGAGGAGGGAGAGGAAGAGGGGGAGGGGGAGGGGGAGGGAGAAACAGAGATGTGAGAGAGAAACACCAGTTGGCACCAAACCTGCAACCTGGGCATATGCCCTGACCAGGAATTGAACTGGCAATCTTTTGGTGCACAGGACAACGTTCAACCAACTGAGCCACTCCTGCCCAAGCAAAAAAGAAGTTTCTCAAGTGCTTTGAGTACCACAAGCCAGGACACTACGAGCTAGGATGGAGTTAAGATGGACACGGTCCTCAAACCTGCTGTACTCAAACCTGCTGACTCAAAGAGCTTATTAAACATATTGATGTGATGCTGATGTATTTAGGGGTAAGTACACTGATATCTGTCATTTATTTTAAAATATGGCAAAAAAAGAAAGAAAAGAGAGAGGGTGAGGTATGTGATAAAGCAGGTATAATAATATGTTTGGATGTACATGTGCTCACCATAAAATTCTTTTAATTTTTCTTCATGTTTGGAACTTTTCATAATAAAATATTGGGAAAATATTTTTTAAATATACTATTTTCAATAAAAAGAGAAATGATGGAGCTCATAGAGGAATGAATACAGTTGAAGAATGAATGAGTAAATGGTAAACTTAGATTCAGAAACTGAAAACTAACCAACTAACCAATAGGAAAGAACAAAGAATTGGAAAATATAAAATTATGAAATATCTGGGATGGTAGTAAGTATGAGAAATCCCAGAAAGACAGATAAATGAAAATTGAGAATAGGATATATTTGAAAAAATAAAGGGGATTAAAACAAAACAAAACACAACCCTTCCATCCTTCCCTGTCAATGACATCTGAATTGTTGGGGATGAGCCCCAGCACTGGGATTTTTAGTTTCCCTGGTGGCTTTAATGTGCACCAGGGCTGAGAACTGCTGGCTGGGAGACCGATGTACTTTAGAACCAAACAGCCATGGGACTATAGAAATGCCATGATTTTAATGACTGCCTGGGTTTTCTTTAGGTTCTAAAAAATTGGCTTTTACCTAGTGGTAGTATCTCAAGGACAGAAAAATATTTAATCATTAATTAGTAGACTATTTTCTGACCAAATCCTTATGCTATTGCAAGTCAATAAAATTGAACTTCACATACCTATAACTCAGTTAAGAATTTTTGGATGAAATAAAAAACTCCCCTTACCTTTTTGGTTTTTTTGTTGGGTTTCAGTTAATGCAGTGTAGTGACCATAACTTTCTTCTGTCATATGTAAGTAAATATTTAAAGAAACCTTACAGTGACTAACATTTATATTTTCATTTTTCAGTTAAATAAACTGAGACAAGGAATTTATTTAAGTGCAAGGGATTCATGATGAAATTGAGAGCTGGCAGACATCTTAAGATTCTCTGAGATGCCAGTAGTTTAGTTTAATTCTATTAAAATACATTTGTAAAACACCTTTGTCAAGTACTGGGCTGACTGTGAAACATTTCAATTGCTTCCCTCAAGGAAATTATCAGAGTTCTTTTGTGGAGCAGAGAGGCATAAAAAAAAAAAATTTTACAATCCAATGTGCTAAGTGCAACACCAGAGATGTGGATGGACAGATTCTTTGGACTTTAGACTCTAGATTCTTGAGGATTAAGTCTACACTGATCACAGCCAGTGAATTAAGGGCTATATTTTGTTATTTCTAGAAGCTGATTTCATCTGGACTAGACATGGATTGATTCCACTGCAGATGAAATCAACATTCCAGGGCCCATCCTAAATTTAGTTTTAGTCCAATGTTGACAATCTTTTTGTAAAGTCAGATAATAAATCAGATAATAAATATTTTAAGCCTCATACGATGCACTTGGTTTTTGTCACATATTCTTTTTGCTTTTTTATTTTTTTATGACCCTTGAAAAATGTAAAAACCCATTCATGGCCCTTGGGTCATACAAAAGTGGGAGTGGGCTAGAATTGTCTGAGCAATAGAGTTGTTCTGTTCTTTTTTTTTTTTTTTTTGGTACAGTGAACTTTATTGATGGTGCAGGGCAAGGTAGGGCTCCCTAAGCCCCCTCCCCTTCTTTAGGGGGTCTGGGATGGAAACTGTGGAGGTCAGGAGATTGTGTGTTGGGGGATCGATTTGGGGCAAGAACTTCCCAGCAGCTGAGGGCCTCTCTTCCTCTCGCTGGGGCTGGTGGTCCAGGGGGCTCTCACTCCTTGGAGGCCATGTGGACCTTAAGGTCCACCACCCTGTTGCTATAGCCAAATTCATTGTCATACCAGGAAACGAGCTTGACAAAGTGGTCATTGAGGGCAATGCCAGCCCCAGCATCAAAGGTGGAGGAGTGGGTGTCACTGTTAAAGTCGCAGGAGACAACCTGGTCCTCAGTATAGCCCAGGATGCCCTTGAGGGGGCCCTCTGATGCCTGCTTCACTACCTTCTTGATGTCATTGTATTTGGCAGCTTTCTCCAGGCGGCATGTCAGATCCACAACTGACATGTTGGGGGTGGGGACATGGAAGGCCATGCCAGTGAGCTTCCCATTCAGCTCAGGGATGACCTTGCCCACAGCCTTGGTAGCTCCAGTAGAAGCAAGGATAATGTTCTGGGCAGCCCCTCAGCCATCATGCCACAGCTTCCCAGAGGGACCATCCACAGTCTTCTGGGTGGCAGTGATGGCATGGACTGTGGTCACGAGTCCCTCCACAATGCCGAAGTTGTCATGGATGACCTTGGCCAGAGGGGCCAAGCAGTTGGTGGTGCAGGAGGCATTGCTGACAATCTTGAGGTAGTTGTCATACTTGTCATGGTTCACACCCATCACAAACATAGGGGCATCCGCAGAAGGGGCAGAAATGATGACCCTCTTGGCTCCACCCTTCAAGTGAGCCCCAGCCTTCTCCATGGTAGTGAAGACGCTGGTGGACTCCACAACATACTCAGCACCAGCATCACCCCATTTGATGTTGGCGGGATCTCGCTCCTGGAAGATGGAGATGGACTTTCCATTGATGACAGGCTTCCCGTTCTCAGCCTTGACTGTGCCTTTGAACTTGCCATGAGTAGAGTCATACTGGAACATGTAGACCATGTAGTTGAGGTCAATGAAGGGGTCATTGATGGCGACAATATCCACTTTGCCAGAGTTAAAAGCAGCCCTGGTGACCAGGTGCCCAATACGGCCAAATCTGTTCACTCCGACCTTCACCATCGTGTCACTGGGTTGCGGCTGGTACTGCGCGGGAAGATGCGGCTGTCTGATGAACAGGAGGAGCAGAGAGCCAAGTTGTTCTGTTCTTGAATGAATCTTAAAGCCACTCCACACTGCTCTCTAAATCTTAGGGATGTCCTAGAACCATCAGAAGAGATCTCAGAGAGGAACATCATTCTTAGTTAACCAAAACTCATTGTGTTGCACTGTGTTACTGTTCTCATTGGCTGCCCTTTGTGGGAGGATGGTACGTGCCCACGCCTGCCATGTGGCTCACAGTGCTCCACCCTTGGGTGAGTGTACTTCACCACACCTGGATGGCGGGCTTGGCCACCTGGCCTGCTCCTATAAAGCATGAGTGGGAATATGATATGCCTCTTCCTGGTAGAAAATGAAGACCCATCCTATGGATCGGACATTGGTTTCTCCTTTTTCCT